TGGATTCGCCCCGCTATGTTTGGACTTACGCCGCTTTACATCGATTCACCTCGGCCTATCTGGCCTTATCCCCACGGGCCGATAGGAGGAGGATGAGGATGATTTTGATGATGAGGAGGAGGAGGAGGAGGAGGAAGAGGAGAAGCAGAAGGAGAACATGGAATATGAGGAAGATGAAGAGGAGTGGATGATGATGAGGGAAGAATTCAGTCCGCCCTCGAACTCTGAAGCCCGGCCTCGAGGGCGAGGGGCGCGTGCGCGTCCGCGCCCAGGCGCTGCAGCGGCTCCACCTCCGAGAAGTTCCTTCGCCTTCGCCTCCTCCTCCTTCTTCTCCTCCTCCTCCTCCTCCTCCTCCCTGCACGTCGTCATCGTGGTCCTTCCTCCGCGCCGTCCTCGTCGTCCTCCTCCCTCCTCGTCCTCCTCCGCATCGTCCTACTCTCGCCTCGTCGCCCTCCTCCCTTCCTCCTCCTCCTCCTCTTCCTCCTCCTCCTCCTCCTTCTCCTCCTCCTCCTGCTCCTCCCTTGTCCTCCTCCCTCTTCACTTCCTCCTCCCACCTCCTTTTCCCTCCCCATACTTGTCCCTCCCCCACCCTCCTCTCCGTCCTGCTCCACCCGCTCCCCTCCCCCTCCCCCTCCCCCTCCCCCTCCCCCTCCCCCCCTCCTCCCTCCTCCTCCTCCTCCTCCTCCTCCTCCTCCTCCTCCTCCTCCTCCCCCATGCCTTCTTCTTATAGATAACTCCTCCCTGTCGCACCCCGAAGCTAGTTTGTCGGGCGGGCCGGGCGTTTCGGCTCAGACTTCCTCACCATGTGTGACTCTGACGCTAAAAAGGTGACAACAGCTTCACAGCTGGAGGGCGGGTCGCTTTCAAAATGTGGCTCTCGCCTTAGCGCCGCGCACATTCGTTTTCAAGATTTGCAACGAGTTTCACGGATTGGGGACGGGTGGTTTTCAACATGTGGCTCTCACATTAGCGCTGCGTGCATTCCTTTTAAACATTTGCAAGAGTTTCACGGGTTCCCATGATCAACGTACCAGACATGGTGTTCTAGAAGGGTTCAGGATTATGCGGGCGCAACAGTTTTGTTGATTCGCTGTGTTGAAATCCCCAAGATGGCGTTATGGCACGATTCTGGATCGTCAAAACGGATCAGTCAGGTTGATACGTGGCGTTGAAATCCTGAGAGCAAAGTTTTGGCACGCATCAGGATCTTCAAACGGTTGTCTTCCAACGAGGCAGTTCCCTCATTGGAAATGAACAGGTGTAGCGGCCTGTGAAGAGGGAGCTAGGAGGGAGGGGTCATTCCAACATCGTTGATGACTCTTGGGTTTCCACTGGTCCTCCTCCTCCTCCTCCTCCTCATCCTCCTCCTCCTCCTCCTCCTCCTCCTCCTCCCTCCTCCTCCTCCTCCTCCTCCTCCCCATCCCCCTCCCCCTCCCCCTCCCCCTCCCCCCCCCTCCTCCTCCTCCTCCTCCTCCTCCTCGTCCTCCTCCTCGTCCTCCTCCTCCTCCTCGTCCTCCTCCTCCTCCTCCTCGTCTCCCTTTCCCTTTCATTTTGCCATTGCCTTGCGAGGTGAGGGCGCTGCGTCTGAGCGCCGTTTGCAAAAAGACTGCAGAGAGTGTGCGAACAACATAGAACTCATAGTCGTACCATTACGTCTAGCATGTCCTCCTACAGGCGGACTTTGAAAGAACAAACAAACAGAGTCAAGCAACAACCAAACATTGTCAAACATAGTCAAGAATAATCAAAACAAGTTGCCCCCATCTTTTTATGTCTTTACCATTTTTGAATATCCTCCTGTAGAGGGACATGCCCGATTGAATCTGACTACCTTAGTGTGGAATAAACGGGGTTGGATGGCGCAGAGAAAACGGAAAAACGCAGAAGCCCACAAAGGCGTGTGTACTAGACTGCGGCGACGGCAAGGAAGTGCACGGCGGCTCCTCCATTACTGCCCACTCTTCCTCCTCCTCCTCTTCGTTGTCGTCTTCCTCCTCCTCCTCCTCCTCCTCCTGCCTGCCTGCCTGCCTGCCTGCCTGCCTGTCCGCCTGCCTGCCTCCCACCCTCCTTCCCTCCCTCCCTCCCTCTTCCTCCTGCTCCCCGCCACGGCCCCAGGGGCTCCCAAAAAAGAACCTGCACCCGCGAACGGGGCCCCTGGGGCGGCCGGAATGGTCGATCCAATCGCACCCTCGCGCCAGTGACGCCGCCGCCTTCGGCGAGGGACCCCACATGAATTGTTAATGAATCAAATGCCAGGAGCAGAAGGAGGAGGCGAGGAGGAAAAGAAGCAGGCGGAAGCAAGGGCGGCCCAGCAGGGGCAAGGAGAGGAAAAGAAAGGGGCGGCAGGAGGCGGGGGCGGCCGGGTCGGTGGTGATAGTGGCAGCGGTGGTGGTCATGGCGCCGTCGTGCTGGCCTTGTTCGTGGTCGCAGTGCTGATCGGCGGTGGTCGCGGTAGGGAATGTGCTGGCGCTGGTCGTGGTCGCGGCGTCGGGGGTCGTGGTCGCGGCTCTTCCTCCCCTCCCTTCCCTCCCTCCCTCCCTCCCTCCTTCCCTCCCTCCCTCCATCCCTCTCCCTCCCTCCCTCCCTCCTTACCTCCCTCCCTCCATCCCTCCCTCCCTCTTCCTCCTTCCCTCCCTCCCTCCCTCCTTCCTTCCCTCCCTCCCTTCCTCCCTCCCTCCCTCCCTCCCTCCCTCCCTCCCTCTTCCTTCTCGCCGCGCCAGGGCGCCAGAGCGGCTCCACCTCCGAGATTGGCCGGCGCCTCGTGGCCACGAAGGGCGACAGCAGCGCCTCGAGGGCCGCGGTGCGCGCCTCGACGGGCTGAGGGGGGAGGGAAAGGGGGGGGAGGGGGGAGGCGAGAGGGGAGCGGGAGAGTGAGGGGGCAGGGGAGGGGGGAGGGGGGTAGGAAGAAGGGGGGCGGGGGAGGGGGGAGGGGGGGGAAGAAGGAGGGAGGAGGCGCGCTCGCGTCATGTCTGACGTCCTGCCCCTCCCTCGACTCCCATCCCTTACCATGGCGTAGATCTCCTCTCTATTCGCACTGTCGGACGTCGTAGCAGGGCATAGGAGTACATGGCATAGCATGGTGTTGAAGATCAACGCGTAGCCTGACATAGCGACATAGCGTGGCGTGGCGAAGCCCCAAAGAGGGGGAGGGGGGAGGGGGATGGGGGGAGGGGATGCGCCATGTCGCCGCTTCCCAGGTGGGCTGTTGCCCCCCCCCCCCCACCTGGGTGTTCAAAACAAACCTTCCCGATGGGCCCCCCCCGTGTCGTGGCGGACCAACCTCTGGCCGATGCGCCTAGCGGCAGTGGACATCAGACTTAACACGGGTTTGGTTCCGGGGCGGCGGATTTAGCAGGAGGAGGAGGAGGAGGGAGAAGGAGGGAAGGGCGGGGGATGATGATGAATCTGAAGATGAAGCTGAAGATGAAGAAAGTGATGAATGTGACGAATGCGATGAAGCATGATGATGTTGCTGATGATGATGGTGGTGATGCTGATGCTGATGCTGATGCTGACACTGATGCTGATGCTGATGCTGATGCTGCTGATGATGATGATGATGATAATGATGATGATAATGATGATTATGATGATGATGCTGCTGATGATGCTGATGATGAGGGGAAACAGTGGAATGTCCTAGGATTGTCCTGGCACCCACAAAAGTCGGTGGCGGGAGGAGGAGGACAGGGCGGAGGAGGAGGACAGGGCGGAGGTGGTGGAGGAGGAGGAGGAGGCTGGAGCGTCATATGGGGGGCAATGTCATATCCTCATCGTCGCCGCCGCTACGCCATCGACGAGCTCGCCGGTCCCCGGGACCGTCAAAGGGCGACTCTGGATGCCACACCGGCCCCAGAGAAGTGGTCTAGACCTCTAGGGATCGAGGTTGAAAAAGATCCAGACGTCGGAGATTTGGGTATTTTTTCTCATCGTTCTCCTCGTCCCACCCGTGTTCTCCGCCTTACCTAAAACTCGGCCTCTCTTTCTCGTTGTCCTTCTGCTTCGCCTTCTGCTCTTTTCTCTTCTTCGCCCTGTCCTCCTCCTTCTCCCTCTCCTTCTCCTTCTCCTTCTCTTTTTCCTTCTCTCTCGCCTTCTCCTTCGCCTTCTTCATCTTCCCCATTCCTTCCTTTTCCTTCTCTTTTTCATTATCGTTCGCCCTCTCTTTCGCTTTCTCTGTCTCATTCTCCTTCACCTTCCCTCTCTCTCTCTCTTTGTCCTCCCCCTCTAGGGAAGAAGAGAATAGGGGGGGTCGAGCGCGGTCCCCCTACAACTCCCAGGAATGGCCTCGAGTCTGAAGAGCTCCTTGTCGTTTGACCTGCCTGCTCGCTGTGTGCCTGTGCCCGCGTCTTGTGTCACTCGTGTGCGCTGTGCGCTGTCTCGTGTGTCTTGTCTCGTGTGCGCTGTGTGCTGTCTTGTGCTGTCTTCTGCGTGGGTGCGTGTGGTTGCACGGTGCGAGGCGATCAGTGTCTGGCCGGGCCGCGCTGATTTGCTTGCGGCGCCCACTGACAAAACAGATATGTGGTTATGCGGTTGCGAGGGGTGTCCGTGCTTCTTGATGGTTCGATCCATTCCAGATGCTACATGGATTGTTCGGACTTGTTCGCGGGGATTTGTTCGATCCCCATGCGCCTTCCTGGCACGTTGAGGCGTGGTGGAGTGCCAAAGGACCCCCCACGCCCCCTCTTGTCGCACAGTGTCGCATACACCGCCCACTATCCCGAGGCCACGATCTAACAAAAACATGGATCCGCGCTCCAGAAGTCGTGATCCCTTGCGTCCGCGTCCCGAGACGGCAGTGATCAACACATGCTCAAAACATCGTCCCCGTGCTATTTGTTTGACTGTTGTGGAATATTCCTCCTGTAGAGGTACACGCCCGACTTCACCCTCGAGGAGGACGAGGAGGACAAGAAGGCACAGCGAGCAGGAGAGCGGCGCGCCTCGCTGTCTGGCAGGGCCAGCCACTGCCGCCGGTTGACCTCCAGGTGGAGCCACCGCACCTGGGCACGGGCGAGGCTCCCTCGCCGCCCTCTCCCCCTCCATTCAGGTGGTTCCCACCGCACTGAAGGACCACATCCTAAAAATTAACTCGAGCACCCTGAAAAGTATCGCCTCCCAGGGACCGACGCACGGAAACCCTCCAGTTTCGGTACATTCTTGGTGTTCAAAGTTCGTTCTGGTGATCACGGCTAAAAGGTAGGTTGGAACATCACAACCCTCCATCCTGATCCACCCCTTCCCAAGACGAAGCCAAGACGAGGGGATACTATCGGGTGGGGATAAACCGAGAATCTCCGAGATCCCGCGGCTCTGGAGGATGTTTCGAGCGCAGCGGCCTTCTCAAAGCGTTCCAGAACGCTATGAGAGCGTCTGGGCAACGCTCCGGAACGCTCTGGCCCGACCAGACCCCTGACGACGTGATTGTTTCACAACGTCGACCCCCAGAAAAATGGGCCCCTTCCCCGGATCGTCTTTTGTCGGTCCTGAGGCCCGGCAAGGGTCCCTGGAGGCCGACGGACACCTCCCATCGTGATTTCCACAACGCGAGGGGGTTTGGGTCTCCTTCCTCATCACCCCATTCATTTCTCCTCCCACCTCTGTCGTACAGCCAAACCAAGGTCAGAATACCACCCTTCAAGAACATGAGACCCTCCGCCGGCAAAAACATATAGAATATCCAAGGGTACCCTCCCTAGGATGCACAAGAGCCTCCAACGATCACGAAGACCACCACGTCAGGTTCGTGTCGTGCCGACTTCGGCGTTGGTTTCTGACACCGCGGGAATCGTTCAACCTTGAACGATCGGCCGTTCCCGAAACGTCAAAATCGTTCCACATCGAACGATTCTGGGTCGCCCGCAGCGTTCAAAATTGAACGCCGCTGCTGGGGTCGCCGCTGGTCGACACGACACGAACAAACAGTAGCGTAACCTCCCCGAGCCGACCTCGATCGTATACCTCGGCCCGACCGTATTACTGCAGGAACACAAGAGCCTCAAACGATCACGAAGACCACTAGTCGAAGAAGAAGACAAACAGAGTGCAGCGGCAACGGCTTCCGGAAATCCATCCGACCGATAAACCGATCAACCGATAAAAACTAATCCGCCGACCCCTTGTGGGTCTCTAGGCGTGTGAGATAGTTCCCCCCCCAGAAGTCTCCCCCCAGGGACCCCAAACCGGCGATTTGACCCCCCCCCCCGGGGCCCCAGACGAGCGACTCACTGGCTTTTTTGGGCCCAACAGGGGCTCAAGACGGGCCAAGAAGGTCCCAAGACGCCTCCAAGACGGCCCACGAGGGCCCCGAGACGCCACACGAGCGCTCCAAGACGCCCAAGATGGTCCCATGACGAGCCAAGAGACCTCCAAGACGGCCCAAGCGGCCTCCAAGAGCAGTCCTCAGAAGGGCCTACGAGCTGAAAATTGTGGAATTCCTATCGGAAAACGTACATTTTGATACTATACGACTTGTCGGCCTTCACGGCGTTGAAGACCGTCCAAGAGCACCCCGGCCCAAGAGGCCCCCAAGAGGCGCCCAAGTCGGCTCCAGAGGGCGCCAAGACGGCCCAATAGGCCCCCAAGACTGCCCAAGAGGGCCCAAGACGGCCCCACGAGGGGCCCAAGAGGGGGAGCTTGAACCGACAATCCGAGCCTTCCGCCCCAAGACGGCCCCAGAAGGCCCCAAGAGGCCCCAGGAGGCCCCCAAGACGCCTCCAAGAAGCCACAAAAGGCCCCCAAGAGGGCCCCAAACGGTCCCAAAACGGCCCCCAAGAGGCTTCGAAACTGCCTCCAAAAGTTCCGCGAGAAGCCCCTCGCCCATTCTTCCTCTTCCTCCCTCACCTCATCCTCATCCTCGTCGATTCTTTTCCCCCCGTCCTTCATTTCCTCCGTGTCCCCCTCCTCCTCCTCCTCACCATCCTTGTCCACCCCGGCCCCCCGGTGGCTTCAAATCTGTTTTCCAAATGTCCCCGAAAGGCGTGCCGCGAAATCGTTATACACATACAAGAATTTCTCATCCATAAACCATCACTCATAGCCTCATCTCAATGTCCCCCTCCTCCTCGTCCTCCTCCACCCTCTCCACGTTCCCCTCCTCCTCGTCCCCCTCCTCTTGTTCCTGGTCCGCTTCAGCTCGTCATATTAGATGATTCGCCCCCCCTATCCTCCGCCTCATCTCCATTATCCTGTCTCCGTCCTCCTTTTTCTCACCAGTACGCGTGCCCGATTCGACATCATTTGCACGTCTTGCACTTCAGGGTGCCTTTATTGGCGTCTCGCGGGACATTGTGCGTCATGATGCCATCAGGCCGCCACACAGAGCTTCCAAAAGACCCCCCCCGAAACCCGAACTTCGCCCCCCGAAGAGAATTACCCTGTGACGTGCCCAACCCATTTGTATCATGGGAAACGAGGAGTTGGTCGAAACTTGCATGGCCAATCAAATTGCTGGATCCGTTGTTTGATCTGTAAGCTACTTGGGACACGCGCCTATGGCATGATGCGCAGGAGAACCATACAAGAAAGAGGGGCAACAGCTACAGGCTCGAAGAGGACATGGGGAGACGGGAGCGAAGAGCAGGAGAAAGACGTGCGGGAAGCCCACTGTGCTGGGCCCTTTCAGCAGCCCTCGAAAGTGGCGACAGTTTCACAAATCGCAGCCCCCCAGGGATGGCGAGGTCCCATTTGAGTCTGCGGTGAGTACCCACTGTGCTGGGCCCCATCAGCAGCTCTCGAAAGTGGCGACAGTTTCACAGATCGCAGCCCCCCAGGGATGGCGAGGTCCCATTTGAATTTGCGGTGAGTACCCGCTGTGTTGGGCCCCTCAGCAGCCCTCGAAAGTGGCGACAGTTTCACAGATCGCAGCCCCCCAGGGATGGCGAGGTCCCATTTGAATCTGCGGTGAATACCCACTGTGCTGGGCCCCCCAGCAGCCCTCGAAAGTGGCGACACTTTCGCAGATTGCAGCCCCCAGCAGCCTCTAAATCCGCCGTGAGTACCCACTGTGCTGCCCCCCCCACCAGCAAGCCTCGAAAGTGGCTGCAGTTTCACAGATCGCAGTCCCCCAGGGATGGCGAGGTCCAATTTGAATCTGCGGTGAGTACCCACTGTGCTGGGCCCCCCAGCAGCCCTCGAAAGTGGCGACAATTTCACAGATCGCAGCTCCCCAGGGATTCCGATGTCCCGTTTGAATCCGCCGTGGGTGCCCACTGTGCTGGGCCCCCCAGCAGCCCTCGAAACTGGCGACAGTTTCACAGATCGCAGCCCCCCAGGGATGGCGAGGTCTCATTTGAATCCGCCGTGGGTACCCACTGTGCTGGGCCCCCCAGCAGCCCTCCGTGGCGACAGTTTCACAGACCGCAGCCCCCCAGGGATGGCGAGGTCTAATTTGAATCCGCCGTGAGTGCCCACTGTGCTGGGCCCCCCAGCAGCCCTCGAAAGTGGCGACAGTTTCACAGATCGCAGCCCCCCAGGGATGGCGAGGTCTCATTTGAATCCGCCGTGAGTGCCCACTGTGCTGGCCCCCCCAGCAGCCCTCGAAAGTGGCGACAGTTTCACAGATCGCAGCCCCCCAGGGATGGCGAGGCCCCATTTGAATCCGCCGTGGGTGCCCACTGTGCTGGGCCCCCCAGCAGGCCTCGAGAGTGGCGACAGTTTCGCAGATCGCAGCCCCCCAGGGATGGCGAGGTCCTATTTGAATCCGCCGTGGGTGCCCACTGTGCTGGGCCCCCCAGCAGCCCTCGAAAGTGGCGACAGTTTCACAGATCGCAGCCCCCCCCAGTGATGGCGAGGTCTAATCTGAATCCCCGTAAGACGTCGCTGTGCTGGGCCCCTCTTCAGCCCTCGAAAGTGGCGACCGTTTCACGGATCGCAGCCCCACAGCGATGGCGACGCCTAATCTGAGTCCCCGTAGGACGTCACTGTGCTGGGCCCCTCAGCAGCTCTCGAAAGTGGCGACAGTTTCACAGATCGCAGCCCCCCCCAGTGATGGCGAGGTCTAATCTGAGTCCCCGTAGGACGTCACTCCGCTGCCCCCCCCAGCAGCCCTCGAAAGTGGCTACCGTTCACGGATCGCAGCCCCCCAGCGATGGCGAGGTCTAATCTGAGTCACAGTAAAACGTCACTGTGCTGGGCCCCCCAGCAGCCCTCGAAAGTGGCGACAGTTTCACAGATCGCAGCCCCCCCAGGGATGGCGAGGTCTAATCTGAGTCCCCGTAAGACGTCACTCCGCTGGGCCCCCCAGCAGCCCTCGAAAGTGGCGACCGTTTCACGGATCGCAGCCCCACAGCGACGGCGAGGTCTAATCTGAGTCCCCGTAGGACGTCACTCCGCTGAACCCCCCAGCAGCCCTCGAAAGTGGCGCCAGTTTCACAGATCGCAGCCCCCCAGGGATGGCGAGGGGTAAGCGACGTAAAAGGCAAGCGAGAAGAGGAGGACCGAAGTTGAGAGGTGAAGGGAAGCAAGAGAGAAGAGGAGGAGCGAAGAGAGGAGAAGGGATGCAAAAGAAAAGAGGAGGAGGAGAAGGGAGGAGAGGAGAAGGACGGGAAGGAGGAGGAGGAGGGAAGACGCGACCGCAGTGCTCTATTCAAAACGAATACCCAACGCAGGAGGGCTGGGAAAAAACAAGGGGTCGGCGGATGTGGCGTAAGCCTGAAGAATCGGTTGAACGGTTTACAAACCGATCAACCGAGAAACCGATATAATTTGATCGGTTCATCGGTGGATCGGTCGCTCAACCGAAAAACCGATAATCTTCGTATGCGAACATAGAGGCGATTGCTGGCGCGTCCCCCTCTCTTCGTCGGTTTACCGGTTTATCGGTTTATCGGTTCATCGGTTGACTGGCTGGTCTGAGACCGCTGGGGGGGAACCTGTGGAGGCGATCCTTGTGCCGCATATCGGTTTATCGGTTTATCGGCTGGTTGTCAGCCCCCCGCCACGACGACGACGGCGACGGCGACGGCGTGAGTTTTGCGTTTGGCTCTGGCGCGGACGGCGCACC